TTTCGAAAGCAAGGTATGCTTATTTGCTTTATTAATCTAACGGTAAGCTCTTGACTGAAGTTCCCAACACTCTAACATTCTAGACATCTTTCTTTTTCATTACTGTATGCTGTATCCCATTGGTGGTACTTTTCATAGTGTAACCAGACATGTAATCGAATAATTTTTTTCAACAAAAAATGTTAATTCAGTATGCATTTTGGTTAGGCACGGATCAGTTCCTTTTTTCCTTTTCTTTTATCCGTTTGGCTAGGTGATAGAACAATAAACATTACACTAGCTTTCACTACATCCTTCTGCACAAAGCACAGGTCTATGAAATTGCTTGAAAAAACCGTGACTTCTGCCCAGTTATCAGTTTGGACTTAGCACTGCAATCTAGCGACTCAGTTCTATTTCGATCTCCAAAAATGTGTTAGCTATATAGAAAGAAAAAGACAACAACATGGAAGAAGAAGGTGCTTTGCTTATTTAGGAAAGTTTATTTTATAATAACTACAATATGATCAAGAACAAGTTGTTTCCATTGAAAAATTATTAGAAGTTCAACTCTAATTATCAGCAAGTTCACTGAACTGAAACATAAACAGCAATCAAAAATCCTGTTCTCCAGTGTGCTACCCTACATACTCTTGCGTATTTTATGTTCCTTTTTTTGAATTTTCAAATACTCGCATTTGTCAAGAGGGTCTGAAAAATTCGGAAGAAGTCAAGAATAATGTTCATGACATCTTTAACAAAGTTTAGAATTTACTGGTGGGTAGCGAAAAAAGCTAGAAATTTTTTCCACCTGATTTTCATATGAAAGCGAGGACTTTAAGAACTTACAAATTGGTTTGCTCTGTTTACAGCAGAGCACTTACAAAATCAGAAATTTTGATGGTTGTTCAAGGTAAGAAAGGACAACATTAGAATCATAAATCACAGGAAAATATTCGCCGCTATAGCCATAAGTGGCAGAAATGTGATTCCATTAGCACAAAGTTTTTGCAACAATTTTATTCGTTAGTGTGATTGCTATCACTGTTATCGACTCCGCCTTCGACAATGCCTTTGAATAAAAATGCACGTTATTACCATAACTGTCTAAGCATTGGTAGAGATTTTGTCGGCTAGAGCATTTTCATTCTATATAGTCAAATATTATGCCTTCGGTATCCGGTAGTGTGAAGAGAAAGAAAAGGTAAGTTTTTATATATTCCTGACAATTTTATTAGCGCATATTTTTTTGTTGAATATGTTTCTAACATATTTTACTTCGAATTGGTTATGAAAAAATAGGTCAAATCATGAATCTGCTTTTTTCTATTTTATTTGAGTTTTATTTTATTGACTTATTTGTAAATGCAGTGTTCAAAAATCTAGTGCTCGAGTTTTTGATGTTAAAATCCTCTACCTAAGGCACGCGTCATACTGGATCCGCTTAATCCACCTGATTCGCTTGATCCGCTTTGTCATTG